ACACCAAATATTTATCTGCCTCATTCGTTTCTGTGTTACTCATAGTTTGTGCTCAGACTGATGTACTGCCAGAGCGTCCACACTTAAACGCAGCCAATGTTCTCGATAAAATGTTTGCCCGTAAAACAGCGGGAGATACAATATAAGTCAGTTGGCTCACGCGGGTTTGTTCTGGCTCCTACTTAGAAGAAGGGTGCAAATCTAGTTCCACCCAATGGTCGCAACAAGGTGGCGTCCATGACATGAGTCCACGGCTAATTAGCAGCAGCAGGTCGACGATTTATGACAATATCGCCAAAACAACCCTCAGTGAGTCATGGACTCTCTCTCTCTATCTCTACATATATATATATATATATATATATATATATTCCTAAAAGGAACTTAACTCCGATTTTCAAAAACAGTATTACCTGCCAAGATGACGACCTCTGCGTTCTGACCTCACCACGAATTTAACTTCTATAAGTTGACCATGTGAGGGTTTACTGTGCACTTGCCGCCTATCATTTGTTTAAGCAACAAAGTGTGTGTGGTGAGATTTTACAATGTGCGAAATTCTTCTGATCAACAACAACTACACTTGACGGCTTCGCAAACGCTGAACGACGCAGCATATTCTCTGTGTATGTGCGCACGTGCTTCTGACCTGCCCCACAGTGTTCACGCTCGTCGATACTTACCTCGTACAACAGGGATGTCCGAAATCCAGCCTACGGGTCAAATGTGGTCTCAGCATGAAATACTAACTTCAGGCTTGAACTTTTTACGCGCATGTGTAAGTTATGTTATTATCTTAATGTCAGACTGAATATGGCCCGACATATTTTTACCCTAAAAATGTGGTCCTCCTTGCGAAAAGTTTGGACACACCTGTGGTGCAATGTATCTACATGGGTCCGCGTACACAGATGGATCTCGAACGTTTTTGTGAAACCACGCATCAAATCTTCTTTGAAACAAGTGCCTACGCACTGCAGATGTCATGACCAAGAGTTTGAAAGCTTACCTAATCGTTGATTAACTGGTTCTGAGCTAATCTTCGCAAAACCTGTTCCATTAGCTTATTGGGTCATAGTGACATTGACGTTTACGTTCACTGATCGTTAAACGCTGTTCCGCGCTATTTGTTGTCTGCTTGAGAGCGCAAACAATTAAGGTTGGCTATTGTATGTAATTAACTTTCTGTAAATGGAACACTAGATCTTGAATTCATTCCGTGCTTTAAACAATTATCGAAGCAATATGGCCAAAAGGATAGACCTCAACGACTTGACTCTGAACAAGAAGATTAATCTGCTACATCTTTTGGAAAGCAGCAAAGAAAGACGGCAGAACAGTGAAGTGTTAGCTAGACAGCAGCTGGGAACATCCAGCAACAGAGGCATGAATAGATGGAAAGATACGATAATGAAAGAGGACATCTACCGCAGAAGCGGCGGAAAACTTTACACGATGAAGTCAGTGATGTTACGCTGCGCTGATCCAAACAAATGAGAGAAGTTAATGCTCGAATCTCCAAACCGATGACACAAGCAAATGCGAAAAGAAGTTCACAAGAATTCGGGGTTTCAAGTTTTCAAGCACCCAATAGTTGGCTAGAGAAATTCAAGCTGCGATATGAAATTTACCAAGGAGTTTTGTATGGTGAATCAAATGTAGTTCCTGAAGAGTTTATTCAAGAAATCACCGAAAATTTTTCGGACTTCAGCAAGGTTTTCAGAGATGATAACATTTTTAACGCTGACGAGTGTGGTCTCTTTTACGAAATGATACCGGGTAGGAACCTTGTTATAAAAGATTACAAATGTAAGAACGGAAATGATTACAAATAACGTGTTACAGTTGTACTGTGCGTTAGCTCAAGTGCAGAGAAGCTAAAGCCTTTGGAAATTGTTATGTCAGCTAGATCAAGTGTGTGTACAAAAATCTGCGTCCTGAATATATTCCAGTTACCTTGGGATAAACAAGTCTGCATGGATGACTGCTGCCATTGCTGACGAGAAATAGCGAGAAATCGACCGAGAAAGTAGGAAGAAGAAACGATTCATTCTACTGGGTGTATAATTGTTCCAGTCATATCCATGTCAATAATGGCACGAATATTACACTAAAATTTCTGCCGCCAAATAAGACCACAAAAATTCAACTTCTGGATCAAGGATCAACAAAATATTCAAAACGCGTTGTCGGGCTCAGGTCATGCAATGGGGTATAGCAAAAATGAATCCCAATATTCTACACGCGACACGAACTTCATCTATTGCTTCAGTTAGTACTCTGGATGCTGTGTTTCGGATAAGTTCCACTTGACACAAATTTCAACCAGACACAATACAGAAGTGTATGAAGAAAGCTGGATTTATTCAAGTTATCGATCAGGACGCTGTTGCTTTAATAGACATTCCATTTCCCATTCCAGATTTTGAAGAAATAACTTTCCAAGAGTCTGCTGAAATGGAACATGACTTGACAATCTACAATGAACCAGACCCAGTCGGCGTTTTCAAAGAGATACTGACAGCGGTACACCCCTGAAGGGACCAGCAAGAACAGTCTGACGATGAGTAAGTCTTACGTGAAGTGGACATGTATGCAGACGACATGTCAGTCACAGGAGCTCTAAAAATGACTGTCAAACATCTTTTAATGCAACTGAATTCATTTGCTGTGGAGAGGTTTCCAAGCATGCTGAGTAGTATAGCTTGTGCTGAGAGTGACTTTTTAAGGTCACCTTGTTGATTAGAGAAAGAAATATTACTGATACGTTTATTTCTCGGTAGGGCGAGAAGCTGTCCCTGTATTAGAACAGATCATGAGTACAATCGTGATCGCGATCATGCATGATTAAGTTATGTATTCCTGGGGCGTGTGACATCAAAACAATTTCGAAGCACGTAACTTTTGTTGTTGCTGAGTTCTTTGTACCATCTTTGATTACTGATTATGTCTTCCTTGGTCCATCCTGAAAGCACTCATTTAGTGATTATCCCGATGGAAACAAAGTGATTATCGAATTCTGGTCTAGGAAATTTTTACTTTGTACGTGAAATGTTCTTGCATTTGTGCAAGACCTGATAGTGACTGGTAGGTAATTCCATACGACAGCGTATCTAACGAGAAAGAAGATGGATCGAACAGTTATCCTGGTTCTTGGCACAGCTAGTTTACTAGTCCCGTTGCGAAGTTGGCCAGCGTAGTTTTGTTACAATTTTAGTATGCGTACCTTGGAGTATGCTTTCTGATTTCTGAGATTGTGTACCAGCATCAGGTTATGTTTCCGTCATGGCAATCATAGGGGTTCGAGCTTAAGCCCCTGGCAATGCTACTGATAGCTCAAATGCGAAGATTTACATTCGTTTAGTGAATGAACTGTGCAGCTTCTTTAGAGCTTTACTGTTAATCAGACGCATGTTCCCATAGATGATGCTGTAGCATTCAAGGACAGGAAGTGTATTTTGAAAAGCTCGATTTTAGCAACGACTGTATGAATTTTATGGCATAAGTTAGCCATAAGTCATTTGATGCTTGCTCTTTGATACTCAACTTCCTCTCAGAAGTTGAGGTTTGAAGACTATCATATGCTTAGATCACAGTTAAACAGTTTCACATAGTGCGTTCATTGTTCAGCTTAACTGACTCTTCAGCGAGCAAACATCCGTGCGACGCAATGTATGTTTTCCTTGCTGAGCACTTTATCATCCATGTGTTGCACCATTTCTCAAGTGATTCGTCAAGCAACATTGCGCTTTGGAGTTCCTCGCGTCGAATATAATAAACAACCTTTAGGTCATCAGCGAACGAAAATGACCTACCATGTTTGAGGAACATCATGACATCGTTAATCTAGGGTGGGAAAGGGGAAGTACCAAGTGGATGCCCTTGGATGACGCCACTAGTGATTAGACGTGGTGAGGTGTTATGATTACCCAGAGTGACTATCTGGTGACTCCCAATTTGGTATGATGTCAACCAACCCAAATGACTCGATTGTTCTCGGTAGCTGCTTGTGAGGCACCCGGTCAAATGCTTTTTGCATATCCAGGAACAACATTATAACTGCAAGATTGGAATCAATGGATTCAGTGATATAATCTAGGCAGTGAAACTGACACGCTGTACAGGAACGTTTATAGAAGAACCCTCGTCTGGATTTGTTAAGCAGTCCCTAACGATGGATGAAGTCCATGCTTCCCCTTTTAATTAATTTTTCGAGTAATCATGCGATGATGGTTGATAGGTCGATAATTAGTGACGCTCTGTTTGTGCCCCCTTAATGACGATTGACAATGAGCGATGTTTCCCACTTATCCTGAAAGTAACTAGGTTCTAACGAAACCATGGACATGTTTATCAAAAGCAGTGATTTGTCAGGTCCACCGAATTTGTTGACTAATGGGGGATCCTATAAGGGTCTAGTCTGAGCAATGGTTAGGTAGACTTCATCGCCTGTTGGATAGTGGAAAGAGAAAAAATGACGTTACGTATGACGCTTGTTGTTGGAAGTTCCGCGTTAGGACTCTCGAGTTAGTACTCGAGCTGCACTCTATTTATTCACTGTATACGTGGGGGAAATGGCGAGAGGATCGTTGGCTCGTTCAAATCAAAGTGATATAAATAGTTAAATGTAGGTAGCTCAAGATGTTACACCTAGTTACGCATCATTCTGCTAGTCTACACACTAACGCACTGATGATGTGACCTCGATTGGTGACAAAACATTTGCAGCGAGACTGCCAAACTCAGCGAACTGTTTGTTTAACTAACGAAGTGGTATAATACATAGTCCACTGAAATAAAAATATGGGCCAACAAATAATGGCATTGAGCTTTCAGCCTCAAGGAAATACTAAGTAGTATGAACTCTCGATGGCAGGACAGTTTTCTTCCTCGGCACAAATATCTCGAAAATGGTTCTCTAAGACTACACTCAGGTTGGTTAATCGTCACGTTACCTAGTAGGCTGCGTTCAAACAAAGGAGGCGTAGAAAAGGCGGTCAGCATAAAACACACTATTTATAATTTTGATTGCATCGAAATTATTACATTACATAACGGATATTCACAAGCGCATCTCAGTGATACTGTGTAAATCATGGCAATTGAATTTTACAAATGAACAAGAGTATCAAAGTGATATGTAGTGGCTGTATCGATCTGGAACTACTGCACTGGTGTAGGTTTTACCAGAGCGAACTGTAGAGGCTTTTAGCAACTTTTGTGCTTGTGACTGACGGACAGCAGACTGTTAATAAAACGTTCGCTGAGTTCCTTTAATACATCCATCGGTCATGTTTATCTGCATAGAAGTTCGAAAGTGATTTACTCCAAAATCGAAAAATACCGAAAAGCACACTTTTGAAAGTTGACAATTCAAGGTCTTAAGGAGGCTTGGAAGGTCGGAATGTCAGTTAACAGGTTACTGCTGTGTTTTTCGTCGCATAGAGAATAAATTCTTGATTGAACGTCTGCGACCATTGGCCGGGGATGGTGATTCAAACCTTAGACTGCTACTTCGAGCTGTGCGCCCTGTGGATGGCCCGCCGCTTAACGAGGCACGAGTTGCGTGTGCAGTTGCGATGACCTGGGCGGAATTATTAAGTACATCCACCCACCGTTGAAGCGCACGGTCATTGGCTGTCTGAAACAAGTAGCCTCGTCCGTCTGACAAGATTAGACGAAACACACAAGGGCGCTTAGTATACTCTGTTGCTGCATATGCGCGTGACATGCCAAGATCTATGGGAGATTCGTTCCGTAATGTCTCATTCGGCTTCTGTCTGCGGCTTCGGTAGTCCCTGTAGAAATAGAGCTGACCGGAATCAAGCACAAGGTACAGGGGTAGCCAGCCACGACCAGAGCTTTTAGATCTTGGCAAACCACCAGCTTCAAGGTCATGCTTGCGTATAACTGGTCCCTCAAGTCTGGGTAAGTTTTTTAGCAACTGGTCTGCCGTCAGTTGGCTCGATGAAGCCATAAGATGCGAACCATGCTCCAAGCTCTCAACTGGAGATTGAGAAGTTCCGGTAGATCTAGAGACTGGAGAAGATGTGGCAAGGACAGGCGAGGTCAGCTCCCGACGCTTTTCACCGGCAGAGGCCGCGCTCTTACTTGAGGTACTAAAAAGGGTAAACAGTACATATTTCACAGTATTTTGTGGAAAAAATTAGATGAACTAAATCTAAGGTGATTGTGTTCCTCAAAGACCATGCATTTAAAATGCTTCACATGAATGGTGTTGCCCTAATGTTCCTGGAAATTTACCACAAGATTGAATGTGCTCGTAATGGGGCTTCAATGGAGAGCCTCTGCTCCAACTCAACATGGCAAACTGACACAATCCATGCTCACGAACCAGAATGATGAAAACAAAAATAATGGCAGATTTATTTCTATTTTTTAAGATAAGTAAGTTAAAATAGTGTGAAAAATGATGCAAAATCGCCTACCTTTTCCGTACAGTCAAGTCAGTACATGGAGTAACCAGTGGGATATGAAATACCGACTATTAAAGGAATCTATATAATGTTTATTCGAAGCCAACTGTTGAGTGGTGTTAACTCGCGAAAACGCCCCCACGTTAAGCGTCAACACGTGGTCGTGACCTTGAGCGAACTTGCGTGCTACCCGCTCACCTGTTTTCTCGTGGTTTTTTAACTGTGGCTCAGTGACCTTTGGTCACTTATCCGTCGTGTTTTTACAAACCCTACCTTGTGATACTATTTTCCCGAGTATACTGCAACGCATGCAGCATTAACACTGAATTCTAAATTCCGGACAGTGTTACGCCGATATCCAAGTGCCAAAAGTCGCGTAATTCTAATCATCGGAGACGTTGTCCTGTCTCACTCAGAGCATTTCAATGGCTTTTGAACGACTTCACACTCGTCCAAATCTAACGTTGCTTGGAGCAGCTAAAGGTCCCAAGGCAAATTCACCTGGCAAATTCTCAATCACACCCTCCGGTAATCTGCCCCACGTTCTAGCAGACACATTCGAATGACACGCCAGAGAACACAGTCTGCAAACAAACAACTGCAAAGCGAACACAGTCGCAGCTTGATCGATAAGTTGCGTCCAAGCTTGCAGACCTGTGTCAAACCGCGCTTTACCTCAAAGCACGTGACTGCAACTTACCACCACCCCATCCGGTCCTGTTGGTGACGACATGAAAAGTCACTTGACCTTAGCGACCTTTGGTACCCCAGGATTAAGCTGGACTATAACATATACAATATCGTTTCACGATTGATTTCAACCTTAACGTAATCCGGCTAGGAGCCGACCTCATTAGAGTTCCTGCTGTGAGTTTCTTTGTCCCACCCCATACCTCTTAATCTCCCAATCACGATCTCACTAACTAGCCTTAATTAATTTGCATGGTAATTTTTTCCTGAGTGGTAGCCGGCTGGTAGCTTACCGGAACGATGCCCATCCGTTACCGGTAACTCAGCTGGCTTGCACCTGTTGCATTTTTTCCCAAATTTTTCTTTTATGTATTGTGGCACAGTGGCTGAGGTGTTTCCGACATGAGAGACTTTATGTCCGTGTGTGTACGTGTAGAATGTGTGAGCGGTGCAAAAATTTCGGGGTCATTACGCCCAATGGCCTGAACAGGACAGTGTGATAGCCAAACAGCGGACAGCACACGCGCTTGTCATACGGGGGGCATAAGTTTAGTTCCGAAACGTCAAGGTGATTTCACATGTCTGACTTCTAAGTGGAAACGTCCATACGGTTCCGATAGTCCATCTCTGATCAGCGGAGTTGTCACTTATGCTTTCCCCCAGTTTGGTTGCACGGGAACCGCACGTAGTGGGTAAGCGAAAAGAAAATCTTCCCCATAGTTCACCTACCAACTTTGTCTTTAACCTTCAGATCACATTACGCGCGATGGGAAGAAGATGAGCGTACACCCATCATCCGTCCAATGTAAAGGCTCTTATCCTGAAGAAGGCAACGACTGGAAGGGCATTGCATCTCTAGTACTAGTAAATGTGCAGACATGTAGAAGCTAGATTGGAACATTAGAGTTAAATGAGTCGACAAGAGACCATAGCGTGTCGCGACGAAATTGTCAGATTGCTACTTGGATTGCTTGGTGGTATGGAAAGGACTCGGACCCTACCGTTACCTTGGAAACTCTTCGGTTACGATTGAAGGTGGAGTTCGAGGTGAAAGTGAGCGTCGGCACAATGGCTCGCTACCTAGACGGTCACCTCATGACAATGAAGAAATTGCATGCATTACCGGAATCCATGAATACAATGGATAGCAAAAGGCTAAGGAAGGCGTAGGTGTTGAAGTTGGTGAACTTAGAGGCAGAAGGACGGCGAGCGATATGGCTAGATGAGACAAACCTGTCATACCGATCTGGAGCCTATTTTCCAAGTAGAGCCCTACAGCTCAGGAAGACTTCTGCGACGGGCACCGTACTCTCAGCAACTGAACCCACTCGAAGGTATCTGGAGTATAATTAAGGCCTACGTTAAACAAGCCGTGAGGTGGCGATATTCCGAAATGCTCCGATGGGATCCAGATGGCGTACTGAGCAAGACTGAATGGAGAATGCAGTTCTTGGAGCAGATTGTTGCAGAAGCACGTCAACAAATGGTGCAGCATGTAGGAAATAACTACACACGTGCTTTACACTTACTCGATCTGTAACGCGTTCCATACCACTGATATATTTCTTCTTAACGTTCAATGATGTTTTTCTTTAAAAGCAACGTGGGGTCACCCCGAGCACACCGGGGTACACCGTGGCTTTCAGTTGAAATGGCCTCTGGCTCTGCGAAGTTTCACTCAGGGATAGCAATAGTTACTGTAAACTACTATTACAGTGGGTTCTTGTTGCAGTGATGGATCACATGTTGTTAACCGGTCGTTACGTTGTAGTATATTGAGAGCTACCGATAGTGGGAAAACATGTCACACGCCGTTCAAACTAACTTAAGCGAAATTGTACACGTTCCTGGGCGTATCTCATAGATACTAGTTACCATAGGCGTCGGTGATTTGCTGTATGATCAGTGCATACGACCCGACTGACAGACCCTCCAACAAAGTGGCGATAGAGGTCAAACAATCGATATGGACATGCTTTAATCTCGCTTCGGGCAGAGAAAAGGTTCCAGGGATAGTAATCGTGTGGCGACGTATCTTGCTGTTCTGGCAGGTAATACAGTGTTTCGACCAGTGCTGGATATCAGAGCGCATACTGGGCCAGATACACAAATGCGTACATGTTTTGGACATGCAGTTATTGTTCCTTCTAAACCAGCTACTCACGTCAGATCGCACATATCAAACGTCCATTTTCTTGACTCAAGCTCTAGGGAAGCGGGAGTTCTGTAGTTGCAACGAGTTTCCTCGACATTACCTGAAAATGGATATCCAGAGAAGTTCACAGCACGGCACTCAAAGGTGAACGCGAGTACTAGGAACGAATGAGTGTCCGCACCTTCATATGCCTGAATAAACCCGATACGATTTTACTCACTGAAACGTGGTGTTATGATTCTCTGCCCGGCCAGATGTTTCTAGCTTATAAGCTTAGTAGAAGTGAACAATGAACAATGATTTATCACGGGTAAAAATCATGTGCTTGACAAGTCCCGTAGGATGGTTGGAGTAAAAATTAAAATTTGAAGGATCATAGAACAAGTAAATCGTTTTCAAGCGTCCACCAAGTTAAATGCATTACTGCATAACGATAGTTTGAAGTGGGAATGGGATGTGCATACGCAAAATAGTATAGAGAGCTGTTATACGTCAGTAAGTACGTGAGAAAAAAAAGGAAACGACAAAGCTCACTCGTTTGTTTCTTCATTTGACAGATGTGGTATGTTAATCCAGTTTAGCTACCACCAGGCTAATCACCTGGACACTTCTGCATGTATCGTCACCGCATTGTTGCGGAGAGGGCCGTTAAACACATAGTCTGCTATGCGTTATTTCTTCCTCCGAGTGAAACAAACTACATCAAATAACGCAAGTTGGAAAGTGTTTCATCAAGGCTTTTTTTGAATGTGGTTAATATAGGGGCAAGGACAACGTGAGTCGGAAGGGCATTCCAGGCACGAGACACATGGAGGGAGAAAACGTTGCGTCGACAATCAAGTCAACTGTAGTGCGTTGCCATTTTGAGCTGATGGCCTCTCAGGTTGGTATTTAGGCTCAGCTGCAACAGATTGCGACATGGGTGAAGTAGGTTCGTTAGTATTAAGTTAACCATAATTAAGTCTTCTCGTTGACGTCGATATTCACCATTGTACAATCTCAGGAACTGCTGTCTGTGTTGGTAGGAGAGATGAAACAATCTTCTAACGAGTTTAGTCGCTCTACGTTGTGGAGCTTTAAGTGCATCCACGTCGCGCATGCGCCAGGGACGCCAGGCTTGGATCGCATATTCCACATGAGGCTTCTCGTAGGCGTTAAGCATTTGCGGAAAGACTGATAGCTCAAAATTGCCGAAAGCGCTCCGTAAGAGTCCAAGATGTTGACTGGCTCTTTTTGATGCCTTTTCTGCCTGTGTCGAGCAACCAAGATCGTTCTGCCCGATCACCCTCAGGTCGTTTTCTTGGGAAGCACGTTGTAACTGCTGGTCCCCACGTCGATATTCATAAATAAGCTGATGTCTTATGCTTACGACTTTGCACTTGGTCATGTCGAACTGGAGCCGGTTGTCGGATGACCACGCATAAGGCCTGTCGAGATCGATCTGCAATGCCGTGTGATCATCCGATGTCCTGATATCACATGCCACATTTTGATATCATCTGCAAATAGTAAGAAGTTCGATTGTAGTACCCCGCCAAGATCGTCAATGAACGTGAGGAATAAACGTGACCCTAGTACCGATCCTTGGGGCACGCCACACTTGATGTCAATTGGGTCGGAAATGAGGCCGAGGACTCTCACATTCAGCTGACGTTGAGCGAGAAAGTTGCCGATCCAACCAAGTATAGGGTCACTAATTCCATAGCCTCGAAGCTTGTGATAGAGAATGTTGTGGTCCAAACGATCGAACGCTTTCGAGAAGTCCGGGTAGACAACGTCGACTCCCACTCTGGCATCGGCTGACTCTGTCCAGCTTGCTCGGGCTAGCAGCAAGTTT